TGCGCGTATCCTGGCTCAGATCGGCACGCGGGTTTCCGAGATTGCCGACCCCGTCGTCCTGGTTGGCGATTGGAATGCTACGCCGAGGGACATCGAGGAGTCAGGTTTCCCGGGAGTAGCCAAGATGGTACTTGTGGCCCCGTCCCTGCCCACATGCATTACACCCAAGTCTAGCCGTGCGATTGATTTCTTTGCTGTCAGCACTGTTGCCAAGAGGTTGCTCGAGTCCGTCCACGTGGACACCTCATGGCCGAAGCGACCTCACCGTCTTATTTCACTGGGCCTCTCTACGGAAGGCCTAAGGCAGCAGTACATGGTATATACGGTGGCAAAGAAGTATGGGACCGAACGTTTCTCATTGGTCCTGCGCGAGAAGGCTCTGACTGGCAGTGCCCCGCTGCGATGGCTGAGGCGGCCGTCGATGCTAGTCGCCAGAAGCCTGTTCGTGAAGCATGGTGGATTTTGTCGCGAGCGTGGGCTACCTTCGCCCATGCCGCCGAGAAGGAGGTCAGTGCAGTCACTGGCCAGCGTGCGTCCAGCAGCGCCTCGTGGGGAGCGCCGCCCAAAGCCAGATGGGTTGACTACAATCACCGCCCCGAGACAGTTGCTGAAGCCAAGGCGATCTCTCGCGGCTGGACTTGGTCAACGCAGTCCCTGGACAACTTGTGCGAGCTCATGAGGCTCAAGCACACTGCGGTACCTTGTCTGGAAGCCGAGGTGGATGTGTTTTCGACCGCAGAGTATTTCGGGCAGGGGCGATGCGCACGTTTGGATGCCAGTGTTCTTGAGGCGCGAGCCGCTGTTGGTAATGCCTTACTTCGTGCAGCTGGAGCCCAAGGCCCGCCACCAGCACCGTCCACATCACATTTACGCTCTGAAGTGGCCCCTGCGGCCGCTACCGTGGTTGGTCCCTCAGGCCAGGAAGGATTGCAAGTTGATGGCCTGTTTCCTGATCAGTCTGACGAGCCTGACATCGATCAGGGCGATTTCTTTGGCATCAATGCGCAGCTCGGGGACCGGACTGGAACCGTGTCTCAGGACGATGATTTCGAGACCTGCGTCGCCCCTCGGATCCACCGTGACAGCCACCGAGCTGCTTAAATTCTTGAGCAGTACCGTCGAGACATTGCAGCTGATGCACGGAAGGCCGAGCTGGATGAAGTAAAGGATGATCGCCAACGGCGGCAGGACTGGTGCGACGCGGCATCGTCCAACGGTGCGCGAGGACTTCACCGCGCTGCCCGAGTTCCCAATGCACCTCACCCTACGGTAGTTCGCACTGCTGGAGGGCTCACGGCACACCCTCATGATATCGTCGAGGCCGAGGTTCGCAAGTATGAGAAGCTTTGGCATGCTAGCCAGGTTCCGAGCCAAGCCTGGACGCCTGACAGGTCGGCAATGGACAGGGCCAGCGCGGCCATTATCCGCGATGTGGCCAACAGCTTTCCGCGCACCACAACGGCCAGTCTTGATCGAGTGCATCCTCGTCACTTTGGGCTACTTCCTCGCGCTGCGCTCGACACCATGGCAGCGCTGTTCGAGGCGTGCGAACGGATTGGTCTATTGCCTCGCCAGTTATGCTTCATTGTCATGCCCATGCTTGCTAAGCCTGACCAGGGCCACCGACTGATAATATTGTACTCGGGCATGTACCGTGTCTGGCAGAGGCTTCGTCGCCGTGACCTCGGTGGCCTTCACCAGCAGCTGCGCCGCCCGTACTGGGGCGCCTTGGCAGGCCGTAGTGCACTCGATCTGTCTTGGCTGCAGGCTGCGCGCAGTGAGGCTGAGGTCAGCCAGAACAATTATAGCCTTTTGATTATGATGGACTACAGCAAGTTCTACGAGGGCATCCCGCTGGAGGTATTACGTGGTCGCCTCCTTGCCTGCGGCATGCCCATGCCGATTCTCAAGTTAATCTTCAACACGTGGCAGTCACCGCGTATCATTCGCCTGGGCCTGCACCACAGTTGCACAGTCTTGTTCGCCACTTTCGGGCTACCAGCAGGCCGTGCATTTTCTGATGTTGCGGTTCGAGCCTTCACGATCACAGAGTACGACCAGTTTGTGCGCCGCAACCCGTCGATCGATTTCATGAGCTACATTGACGACACTGGGGTCCATGTGAGCGGCCGTGACCGAGACATCGTTGCAGGCGTCGCGATCCAAGCGGGTGTGCAGTTCCAAGCAGTTTCGAGACGACTTCAGGCCACTCTCAATGATAAGGTCGCCGTCGTGGCCAGTGATAGTGCCCTTGGCATGGAGGTGGCCACGAAGCTCGGCCTCGCCAAACACAAGTCCAAGCCAGCGGTCGCCTACCTCGGCACGGACTTCACCGGCGGACGGCGACGGGCGCAAGCCCGCACCGCTGGCAAGAGGAAGATGCGTTTGAGGAAGTCCTCCCAGCGCCTGGCCAAGGCGGCCAAGCTCAAGTCCATGAGGAAGGCCGACGAGAGGCTCGGAAGAGTCTACACCACTGGAATCAATATGGCAGCTCACTACGGGGTCGAGGTCAACGGCGTCGACGACCAGGAGCTGCTCGCCATCCGTCGCCAGGCCTTGTCCTACCTGGCGCCCGCGACGAGGGGTGCGAGTTTGCGCGCCAAGCTGGCCTTGCACGGTGAGCCAGCGGCGCGTGAGGCCATGGCACCCGCACTCCAGTGGCCTAAGATGATATGGCACGCTGTGGCCTTCCCGACTGATGCACTCGTAGGCCTAACTGAATTAGAACGCATGTGGGACCGCGTTTTTTCCCAGGCTCCGTCGGATGTGTCCTGGGCCCAAACCCGCGGACCGATCTCCAGGATCCCGCTTTGCCTCGCTCGCGTAAGGTGGAAGCCTGTGTCAGCCACTGAGTGGATCGACCAGCATGGTATCACCATCCAGCTCACACAATGCTCCCCTGCGATGCTAGGTAAAATGTTCAGCACCGCGCTCCAGGCTGCCCATGAGAAGTCGCTTGGGGAGAAGTGGGGGTTTGCTGAAGGAGTTAGGGCCAACCTGGACGTGGTCAGGTCTTGCCTCAGGTCCAAGACTAAGTATAGCAAGTACCAGAAATATCTAGTTCAAGCTGCTGTCTGCGACTGTTTGTGGACGGAACAGCTTGCACATGACAATGGTTATGTCACTCTTCGAGCTGGCCGATGTGAATGCGGCGAGCCTGACACCACCCACCATCGGCTTTTTTGTTGCCAGCTCCCAGCTGTAGCCCAGGCCCGCGAGGAGGCGGAAGTGCCTTTGACTTTCCTGGACGAAGCGCGGGAGGACCCTGGTAGTCTACTCCATTTGAAAGGTGTCGTCTCGGTGCTCCCAGGGGACATCCCTCTTGTCAAAGGGGCCCCCGAGGCCATGGTCCTGGACGGTCTTGGGGAGGTTTTTCCCGGTCTGGAGCCCGAGAAGTCCTGTGCAATTTGTCGGTCATAGCGATAACCTACATATCGCGGTGGACGGTAGCAGCACCATGCCGATTTTGTCTTGTTTTCAGCGTGCTGCGTATGCGGTTGTTCTGTTTGACCCCCAGGCCGAGGCTACCCTTTCGGTAGTGCGTGGCACTGTGCCTGGAGGTTTTCCGCAGTCCCCCGCGATGGCTGAAAATTTCTCGATTGCTGTCGCCTGCCAGATCGCTGATCGCAGTTCCTACATGCATGCCGATTGTAAAGCAGCAGTAAGTCAGGCTCTCCTTCCTGAGCACGAACAGTTTCGTGCGAGCAAGGTGTTTGCTGGCGTATCGGCCTTCGCCCGTTCCCTCAGTGGACACGGCCACATCAGGTCCATCCAGCATGTCAAAGCGCATCGAAGCGAGGGCGTGATAGATAATTTGCCGCTTGTGGAGCGGGCGCCTGCGAAAGGCAACCGTGCTGCGGACCTCCACGCCAAGGAGGCTCTTAAGATGCACGCGCCCATCGGACCCGAGGCAGCCAATCGCCTAGAGTCTGAAGTAGAGACCGCCAGGTATTTTGTCAAACTTGCAGCTAGTGTGCTACCAGCCTTCCAGTCCCGAGCGAAGCGCGTCAGGCCCTTTGCCCGTCACCGTTCTGTAAAGTCAGCTCCTGGGTGGCATGAGTGGGAGAGTGGATTGCTTGGTATGCAGTGCAAGCATTGTCTGGTGGTCGCCCATGAGGGTACCCCCCAAGAGGCTCTGGGTTGCTCTGGGGCCCCCGATTTCGTTCGTCAGGTCGTCCGCCGTCCCCTGGGGCACCTGATTGTTGGTGTGACCTCTCACGAGATCCACCCCAGAACCCCAGAGCCATCGAAAGCCAAGTTGAGTAGGCTACAGTTTCTGTGCGTTCGTTGCGGCTGCTGGGCCCAGAGGTGCTCCCGTAATCTTGACAAGGAGTGCCAACGACCCTCTAGGAAGGGACGCGAGGTACTAAGTAAGTACTCGCGAGGCCTGGGCCCCAGTAGTCGTGTCCGTCAATTGATTGATAGAGCTGCTGCGGTCACTGCAATGTCTGTGGTCCCCAAGCCGCGGTCTAAGACTCTTGCCTGTACGTCTGTTCCCTCGGCCCATTCGAGTGCCCCCACCGTCCCTGAGTACGAGAGACGGATGGCCGCCCTTGCTGAGCGAGTGCGAGCCAAGGAGGCCCTCCAGGCTGAGGAGTAGTGTTGGGTCGTGGCACCCCGTCGCGGGCCCTGGTCAGAGTGTGGGGAGCTCTGTCCTCCAGGGTAACAAATCCCTCACCGAAGGGTGCCACTTCCCCCCATTGTTTGTTTTAGTTTTGCGAGACTCTTCCCCTCGGGGCTGTCCTAACCTAACCTAATCTCTCTCTTTCTCTGTTTTTCTCGCTCTCTGTCTTGCTTCCTCTTCCTCTCTCTCTCTCTCTCTCTCTCGTTCTTCATATCCCCCTCCATGCCTCCCTCTCTCTCATCTTTGGCGCGACATTTTTTCTGTCTCTCTCTCTCTCTCTTTCTATCTGCCTCTCCCTCCCTCTCTCGCTCTCTCACTTTTTTGTTCGCTCCCTCTGCCCATCCCTTCTTGCCTCCTCCGGCCTGCGGCTCCGCAGGGGTTGCCACGACGTGCGCTTCGAGGCGGGCGCGCCCCGCGCGGGGGGCGCGCCTCGCCCATCGTCGCTGTCGGGCAGGAGGAGGGAACAGCGGCAGGCAGCAATAGCGACACTGATGATGTGCGCGGGGAGGAGGAGAAGGAGGAGGAGGAGGAGGAGGCGGCGGAATCACCGTCCTTCTGGATGCCTCTCCTCTCTCTCATCCTCGTCACATCTGGCGACTCCAGGGGCGAGCACCCGTGGAGTTGCCGGGCTCACCATTTTTATAAACCTACCCCCCAGCGCCGGCCGGCCCTGGATAGGGGGGATGGCCTCGTCAGCACGACCCCGAGGCCGAGAGAGAGAGAGAAGGAGGAGCAGGCGAAGGAGGAGGCGGAGGAGGAGGAGGAGGATCACATGGAACGGTGCGGTGCACGAGCGGCGGCTCGTCAGCCCCGTGCCGTATCCGAGTTTGCCGCCCCTGCCCGAGGCGGACACGTCCCTTTCCTGGTGGCTTTTGCAAGTGCGAAGGGTGTCTCGGGCCACGTCGATTGTGACACAGACTTGGGACCAAGCTCGTGCGAGGATGTGCGTGCGTGTGTAGACGATGAGGAGGAGTATAAGGAGGAGGACCAGGAGGAGGGGGAGGGGGAAGGAGGGCGTTGATGGCGATGATGGTGGCATCCCAACGGCGACGATGAACATGTTGGTGCTGATGCTGACGCTGATGGGGAAGGGGCGACGAGGTTGACGATGGCGAAACAGCGATGATGAGCACTACGGCGACGATTGTATGTTATGGTGTTTTTGACGATGAAGTCTGTAATCATGATGGTTAGTCCTTGAACGACAGCGTTTAATATGACGAGAATGTGGATGAGGAGGAGTAGAAGGATGGGGGGAGGGTGAGAACAGTATGCTGCTGCCGATGTTGATGTCGATGATGAGGAATGGGAGGGGGGAGGATACATAATAAGACAAAGAGACAGGAGACGATGTGGAGGGAGACATCGGATACGGGTGGTGGGAGGGAGGGAGGGAGGAGAGATGAGTATGAGGATTCGACAGCAGGGGGGGAAGGAGTGAGCGGGGGAGTGGGAGGAAGGAGTATCAGGATCCGCAGCGGTAGAGGGCGATGGGGAGCACGAGGGGAAGGAGTTAGGAGAAGAGGATGCTCAGCGGGATGACGAGTCAGTTCGCCCGCTTCGCGGCCACCGAGCCCCCGCACGGCCTGATCAGGCAGTGGAGACCCTCCCGAAGTCACAGCAGGAGACGGAGGCGGAGAGTAAGGGCCTAGGCCTGCCCCGCCCCTCGGGCAGGAGAGATGGAGGAGAAAGCCGGCGTCTCCAGCGCCTGTTCCTCTTCTTCCCCGCTTCCTCGGCTTCCTCTTTCCTCCTCCTCCTCCGCCTTCTCCTCCTTTGCGTTAGACCAACCAAGCTGTGGCGTCTGGGATGGCGGACAAACAAACATGACTCGGATCAGGGACACCTGGCGGGCGCCGCGGAACATCAGGTAGCACGAGCACGGGAAAAGATTATTAACCAGAGTAGGCGCCCGCCAGGTGTGACAATACTCATTCCAGTAGGTTCATGAGACCAACCTAAGGTAACATAATGCACATAAGAGAGAATTTGTTGTAGTGGTGAGTGTCGCCTCGGCAAGTTCAAGTGCGGACAGAGCATGAGCAGTTCTAGGGTTGCAGTCCAGGGTTTCAAAGTTGACCCCAAACCTGTTACCGCCTTCCTCCCAAGAGCCCCTCCATGGTACGCCTCACCCAACCAGTCCCTCCGCGTCATATGTGCCGTCTGGTGGCACTGTAAGCAGACTGCCGATGAGAATGCCTGTAAAGAGTGTGCCCTTGCTTGAGTAGTATCAGGTGGGTCCTCGCCCTGAGTGGGGACTTCAAGACAGATACGATGGAGGCATCCAGTAGAAGAGGGGTCGGACCCTGACTGGGGACCCAAAGTACGCACGGCGTGCTGGCTGGAAATGACGGGTGTCCAGTAACAGGGTCCCTCAGTGTAACTAGCAATTCTTGGGCTGCGGCCCAGGGTTTTGAAATTGAGCCCCAAACCTGCAATTACTGGGAGTGATGAGCCAATCAACCGCCCCTGACCCCATCCACCCCCATCTATTTTTCAGAGTATGTGCCATCTTGGCAGGCTGCAGATGTGAGAAAAAATCTGGCCGAAGCAGTCGTCGGGATGCTACCCAGGGTTTTGGCTGACCCCGAACCGTGGCAACAGATGCATGCTGTAGGGCCAAAAGAGAGTGCAGGATACGATATTCTAGGCTCGTGTTGTACAATGCTCCGTCTTTGCCAGCAGTAGGCTCGTTCTTTTAGCAAGCAGTAGGCCCGCTCTCCGGAGCCTACGTGGAGGGGCCATCGTCACCGTATCAGCGTCAGGAGTACGAGGGGTAGGCATGTGAGAACGAGGAGGGAGAGTAGGTCCGGTCTGTTGCGAAGGCTGGCCTGTGCAGGCTGGCCTGTATGCTTGAGAGGTACCTGTAGCGAGCGTGCCCGTGCTGTGGGCCAGGGTTTTCTGGTTGACCCTAAACCGTCGCATTTGAGTGAGGAGGGACCAGTACGGCCGATCAGAGGAGCATGCGAAGTACAGGCCACAAAAAAAAGCGGCTGACAGGTAGTACTGCTGCAGAGAGGTATGCAGCCTGTGCGCCACAACCGCGCACGTGGGCAAGTTGCTCACGTGCGCGGCTGTGGGACAAAAAGAATGTCAGCTTGTATGCACATCTGTATAGACCTGCCCGCGTTGTGGGCAGGGGTTTTCTGGTTGACCCCGAACCGTCACAAGCAAGGAGGGGGGGACCACCAGCATCCACCGCCTCCTCCACAACCCTCCAACCAATCCCCAAGGACAGTGTCAGGCAATGCCGCGGTACGTACCACCAAACCGTCGAGAGTGAGAGGGGCATACCACCAGCATGTCAAGAGAACGAGAGGGTGTAGACAGCAACATCAGGTAGGAAGAAGGAGGTCTAGCAATTGACGTAAGATGCGGCCGACATGCAGTATAAAACGAGTGTCGTGCCATAGGCTTGCACACAAAAATGTACCAGCTCGAGTCCGGTGCGCAAGAAAGGTACTCTGGTTCGTTGGCTAGTGTCGTACCCTGACTGGGGACCCAAGGGCGCACAGTGTGCTGGCTGGAAAAGGAGGGTGTGCTGTAACAGGGTCCCTCAAATGGGCTTTGACCGAGGGTTCTAGAGGCGGACCCCAAACCTACGATTATCGATAGTGGGGGGCCACCAGCGTGTCGGAACACCGTGTCGGAGGGACGAGGGGATGTAAGGCGCACAGCGAAAACAAAAACGGTGAAAGCGGGAGAGTCGACACATGCGTATCCGTGAATTGCGCACTGTGCAAGTAGGGAGAAGGCTCAATTGATTGCTTCTGTGGTAATAGAGGAGGTACGGGTACTTGAGGTGGATGTCGTGGCAGGTTGTTGCCAATGTGTGCTTAGTCCGCAGTTTGGGTTGTGTCGTTTAAGTTCGTCGTAGGTTTGGGCTTGTGTGGTGTCTTGTACAGTCTCACAATCTGCTTGGGCGGAGGCTCTTTGAAAGGTACTCCCGTGGGAAGCTCGTGGAGACTGTCGATGTAGATCTCGTAGTGCGTCTGGTGTGAGCGGTGCCTGTCGGTGTAGTTGTGGAAGGTCGGGTATCATGTGTTGTAAACGACGATGATGCGTCGGTTGCAGATGAGAATGTGCTGGCCGCCTCTTCTCGCTGCTGCGTTGTGTGCTGCGATGGCTTGTGCTGCGTGGGTCGGAAAGCAGGTTTGCAGGGAGGCGTACGTTTGTGGAGCCAAGTTGTTGAGAGGGACCTCCTGTAACCAACGCGGTGTCATGATCTTCTCCTCTTCCTTCTCCTCCCCCTCCTCCCCCTCCTCCTCCTCCCCCTCCTCCTCCTCCTCCTCCTCCTCCTCCTCCTCCTCCTCCTCTCCTCCTCCTCCTCCTCCCCCGTTGCAGCCACAGTGACACTGGCAGTGGCAATGACAGACAGAGGCAGAGCTAAGTCCCCTAGAAGCCTCCTATCCCCCGCCGCTTGCTTCAGTGACTGAGCGATTGGTTGGCGACTCGACGCCGTCGATCTCACACTGCTCGCAGGCACGGCTGTCCGAGCGGGGGAGTCGCTGCCGGTCCTTACGGTTCCAGGCCGAGGCGCCGCGTGAGCCTTCCGCGAGGGGCGCCCAGTCTCATCTCCCGTGCGTGCCTTCTCGCCCCTCAGGCCACCCCTCCCCCATCGTTGTCCCCCATTCGCCTGCCCCTTTTACCTCTCCACCCTCCTCGCTCGCTTCCTCGAGCGAGCTCATGCGGAGTCGATGGGCCTCCTGGTCCTCCCCCCTCCCTCACTCTCCCTCCACCCTTGCCTCCTCCCTCCCCCTTCCCTTCCACTTTCCACCCCATCCGCCCTCTTCCTATCTGCCCCTCCCGTCCTCGCCTCTCCCCTCTCCTCTCTCCTTTCCGTCAATTCCATTCTCCCCCTTTTCGTCCCACCTTCACTGCTCCTCTTCTCCCCCCCATCTCCCTCTTCCACCTCCTTCATTTGCCGTCGTTCTCCTTCTTCCCCTCATGCTCAACCCCTTGTCGACCTCGTCTTGCTGGCGCAGGCTACATGTCCTCGCTGTTCTACAGCCCTGAGCCGGAGAGACGGAGCGTCGTCGCCAAGGCCTCGGGAAGCGCCAAATTTAGCCGTTTGCCTCTTCTCCATCTCCCCACCTCCTTTTTTTTTCTTTCTCTCTCTCTCTCTCTCTCTCTCCCCCTCCGCCTTACCCCATCGGCCCCGCGTCTTCTTCTCCCTCCTTCCTCCCTGCCCCCTGTTGTTCCCTATTCCCTCTTCACCCTCCCACTTCTCGATCCATCCACCCTGCTCTCTGCTCCCACCTGCTCCCAGCTCAGTGCTCGCAGCTGCCTTTTTCTCGCTGCCGCCGCCGTCGTCGACCTCGTCGTCCTCGCCCTCCTACGAGCTTCGAGCTGCGGAATGTTCTGAGTCGTCTGAGCCTGGAGAGTCCTCGACTCCCCAGCCCCGCAAACGTTAGCGGGCTGGGGGGGGGGGGTAAAAACGTGGGCCGATTGTGTCCACTGGTGGGGCCGGCAAACGGGACGAGGAGGAGACGACATGAGGGGGACCGAAAAGAGAGGTGAGCAGGTCTTCTTCTTCTTTTTCTTCCTCCATCTCTTCTTCCTCTTCCTCCTCATAATAAGTTACGGTGGCTACTCCTCCTCGTGCTCCACGTCTTTCTCATTTAGCCAGTCTCCCTGGTGGAGAGGCCGCCTCGGCCGCCGCCGGCGGTGGAGGCCTCGACCTGCGCGCTGTTGCCCCCCGGTCTTCCTCCCTGGCGGTCGTGGTGGTGCCGCGATGCCGCCGCCGCCGCCGAGGAGCGTACGGATCCTCAGCCACGCGCAGAGGGTGGTCAGGGGGAGGGGGAAGGCATCGTATGCGCACCCCTTACACATGTAGAGGCCGGCGCCTCTCAAGAATCGGCCTCCTAAGAAGCCTTCCCCCTTCCCCTGCCCCCCCTCTGCGCGCCGCCAGGACCCCCTCCCCCCGCGGGGCCAGGCCCCCGAGGGCTGCGTCGGCCGGCGGGGGAAGTCCATGGACGGTCTTGGATCCCGGGCCCTGGTCGATTGAGGCGGGGTGGCCCAGGCTGGCGAGTTGAGACACCCGAAGTTGGCCTTCGGGGTGCCTCCTTTGGACGCCACGGCTGGACGCAGCTCGGAAAACTGGGGTCCGGGGACAGATTTGCAGCTGCTGTTGCGGGAGGGAGTATTTCCTGGCCGGTCCAGCTGGTGTTTGGGGGGCGGCGGAGGCGACCGCCCAACGCCCAAGGTCGGATGAGCAGCATGGACCACCGCGACCGAGAACCCGTCTTGAAGGGGGGGGGACTTCCTGGGCGGTGGCACGCCCCAGCGTCGTCCAGTGCAGGACCACGCTCAGGCGTGCCTCCGCCCAGGGGTTCGGCCGCCCCTCCGATGGGCTCTCGGTGGCTGTGGTCAATGATGGGCGCGTGGAGGTGGAGGCGGCTTAGCGCGAGGACAATCCGCTCGTCGCCAGGGCTCCGCCGCCGCGGGCAGTTTTCCCACGAAGGGCCAGAGGTGCTGGAATAGCAGCAGCAAGATGTGGAACCATAAGCATTTTTTCTCAGCAGTAATGCACTCCATCTCGCTTGGCGAGGATAATGAGCACGTGCGGGGATCCTGTGGCCGATGCCGTATGGGAGCCGCCTCCATCGGATGAGGTGCGGTCGGCCGTAGCAGCGGAGCATCATTTGGGATCTAGTGTTGCCACCGATGGCGTTCTGAGGCCGCCTCCATGGGCCCTTCAATCAGATTTATCCTGTGGGGTAGCACAGTTGGGACCCCTTCTCGTGGGGCTCCCAATCGGGATTCCATGTCACGGAGCCCGCCACCGAGATTCCCTATCATGGGCCCTGCGGGTCGGGACGCTTCCTCATGCGCCCCCTAACACGCATTCGCTATAATTGCACGCAGTTGCGTTGCGTCCACACGATGCCCACGCCCGCGCGAGCAATGCCCAATCGCGCCGCGATGAGCCGCCCCAGTCGCGGAACGAGGCCCTCCAGTCGCGCAGTTTGACGCCCGTCGATGCGGTGCAGCTGCGCCGCCCCCTCACGAGACCCCTGCCCGCGCGCGTGCGCCCAGTCGCGCATAGTCGCGGAGGGCGGCCCCAATTTCTCGTGTGGCCTCCCCTCTCGGGGATTCTTTTTCCCACGCCCCCCCCCCCCACTGAATTTCCTTCCGACGTCGGGCACCCAATGTTTGATCGTCTCTTGCGCGCCCCCTGACTGGGGTTCTTTCCCACGGGACGCACTTGCATCATGCACGTCCGCGCGAGGCTGACCCACGCCCCGCGCGAGCATGTCCCAGTCGCGCAGAGGAGGGCCACCCCCGTGGCGAGGCCCCCCACCGACCGCGGAGCGACACGCCCGCCGATGCGACGGCGCTGCGCCGGTCCCGCCCGCGCGTGCTCGGCCGCGGAGCGCAGCGCCGCCACCCGTCGCGGACCAGGAGCCCCCAACAGCGGGCGCGAGCACGCATTATGTGCACCTCACCACCAATCCTGAGGATGGCGGTGCTCCTCCTCCTGCTGGTTCTCGTTTTCTCATCGCTGGTTCTCTCTTTCACTCCCTCCCTCCTCCTCCCCCTACTTTTGTCCCAGTCAGTGTCCGCTGAAAATCGGCAGCAGGGCCCCTTCCAGGGTCCATCCCGACAATTTTTCTCAGCCGCGTCCAGCCGTGGCAACAAGAGCCTCCAGACACGCACGAAAGAATACATCCCGATCGGCGTCTTCCCCCATGCTCGAGGATCGGTTACCATGCCACCCCTGGGTGGTTACGTTAATTATCAGCGGCGCTAGTAGATCAGTGGTCGAAAATTGGCCCAATCTAGCACAATCCCGTGTACTTCCGCTCGCTCTTGCTCAATCCCGTCTAGCCCAGCTTACTCCATGGCCCTTTCCGCTTTAAGCTGGATTCTGGCGCAGTGGCATTCTGATCGGGCCTGATAGCCCTCATTCTTTCCCGAGATCGGTATCGAGGAGGACCCCCCCGCCCAGCGGGAATCGCCGAGGGCGCCGCCTCGCCGGTGATCATCGGCGGGTTGGCGGAGCCAGCTTCAGGCGGGCCGCCATGGCCCCCGCCGCGCGCCCTTCGGCCCGCGAGTTTCGACCAGTGTCTGCCACCATCATCATCATCATCATCATCATCATCATCATCATCATCATCATCATTATCATCATCATCATCATCATCATCATCATCAGCAGCAGCAGCAGCAGCAGCAGCAGCAGCATGCCGAGGGGCAGTTCGAGCTAGGAGCTCCTGTCCCTTTCAGACGCGGGGATCATCATCAGCAGCAGCATCATCAACATGATCATCATCATCAGCATCAGCATCATCATCATCATCACCACCATGATCATAATGGCGGAGCAGAGGGCGAGCGCGACACTGCGCCGCCCCTCCTTTGGAGAGCGCGACCATGATCGTAATGGCAATCATCATCATCGTCATCATCATCATCATCGTCATTACCATGGACATCGACATCATTATCACGATCATGATCGTCATCATTACCATCATCAGCAGCAGCAGCAGCAACAGCAGAAGCTTCACAATAGCAACTTTAGCGTGGTGTTCGCGGAAGAGAGAAGGGCCGCCAAACGCCTATCTGTGCCTAGACTTTAGACGGGTGTGCGAGCTGCCGTCATTCAGAACCCTCCGGACCTCTCAAGACACCTCGGGAGCCACAGTGGTGTGGGCATCAGTGGTGTCGCCTTGCCCGCCGTGTTTCGGCGGCTACTCGCCGAACTTCTCGTTGAGTTGCCGTTCTCTTGCAGGAGACGCTCAGGTGTCGCAGGTCTCCCTCACCAGCGACGAAGGGCCAGTTCGTGTGCTCCCTCATCGGTCTGGCCTCAGGTGTGATCCTCACCATCACGTTCTTGAGTCGTTTGACCTCGCATGGCTAGTCGGGGTGGCGCTTCGTGTGTTTCGCTGCGGGGGAAGATCTTCGCACGCGGAAGCTGACGGCGGCGCCGCTGACTGTGATCGCGACGCAGCAGGCTCGAGCTGCCGTCCAGCAGCATGCGTAAGTTATCGAGTTGGTGGGCCTGTGGTTGTCGATGGGCGGATCACGCTGCTTCCCGTGTCCGCCATCCCTGCCATCAGCCTGACAGTGGATGGGGCCGTTTCTGATTTGGGCACGCATGGTGTGCGACCCAGCGAATCCTGAAGGACGGGGAAGTTCGGATCTCGGCGAGTACTAGCAGACTGGCTTTCAGAAGTTGAGGCTCACAGTGCACGCACGCAGAAGCCAGGGAACCGTTGTCATGTGCTACGCCCGTATCGACTTGATGCCGTTGGCAAAGAACTGGTGTGCATGAAATGTGGTCAGACTTGTGGCAAGCAGGCAATCAAGTGGTTTTGTGCGAATATCTGTATTGGCCGCTAGATGAAGAGAAAATGGTGAACATGAGTGACGTCTATGTCGACATAGAGGTGATCAACATATTTTATGTTTATTCACTGCGGACGTGAGCCAATGTGACATACCCCAGTACAGACACGGATGGCACCGTTTCTGAGGAGACCATCGTGGTGGACGCCGATGCGGCGGAGGTCCGTCCCATGCCAGGGCTGGGCTCACCGATCTTCGGCGTCGCGGGGGCTGGGGTCTAGCCTCGGTCGCTTGTTGGCGATCCCCGATGCAGCCACCCTGTGGGGCACATCCGCACGGCGGCTGGCTTGGTGGGCGTGGCGGTGCCCAACTCGGCCATCACCATCAAAGGTGGGGTGGGCGCCGGCTCTGGCTGGGAGGCGTAGAACACTGTGATCGCGGACCCCGCTGCGGCGGCGGTGGCCCCAGCGGCGGCGGTTGGTGCAGCCCTAGTAGGAGGCCCTCCTGCCGCGGCGGGCGCTGCTGGCGGCGCTGCGGGCCCTCGCGGCGCGGCAGCCCTCGCGGGCGCCCTGGGCGTGGCCGCGCTCGCCGCGGCTGTCCCAGAGGCGCCGCCTGCAGCCCTGCCCGCCCCGCCCACGGCCGCCGCGGCCGCCTTCGGAGGCGCGGCGCCCGCTGGGCGAGGCGCGGATCCCCGCGTGCATGTGACGGTCCGGGGTGCCCCAGGTCGGCGATGCATGGACTCCGCGAAGG